TGTTTTCTTTTTTTAATAAATCCTTTGCCGCGCGTTGTGTACTGATTGATACCTCAGTCTGGGAGAACAAGATTTATTTCAGTACCAGTTGTAATTAGGTTTGAGCAAACTTCCAGTAATTGCAAATACTCTTATGTCGGTGCTTTGTGTCTATTGTCTTAATGTTAGTTTTTTTGTGTGTCTCGTACCGATCTTTTGAGTTAATTTGCTGATTTGTGCAGGTTGTTATTTTATTGTACTGTTACACCACTGTCCCAGCTTCGGGATGGGTTGCTCACAAACATGTTGTTGTACTGTTACACCGCTGTCCCAGATTAGGGGGAGGATTGGGATCCCGCTAACATGTTTAATCCCGCCCCATTCTGTATGTATGTGCTTGTCCCAAGTCAGGAGCCTGTAATTCAGTGGTTGCCGTTTGTTGCTTTGTTATACATATTTGTGTTTCGTTCATTTTTTTGTACATTAATTCGGCCGTTAGTTTTCTCTATTGAATTGTTTTACATTTTTGATTTCGGGGCCTTTTATAGCTGACTATGCGGTGTAGGCTATGCTTATTGTCGAAGGCCGTACGGTGACTTATAGCTGTTGATTTCTGTGTCATTTGATCTCTTGTGGAGAGTTGTCTCATTTGCAATCATACCACATCTTCGTTTTTATATCCACCCTGCCATATTCTTCATTTGCCTGTCCCAGGGATGGAGCCTGTAGTTTAGTGGTTGTCGTTGGTTCCTGTCTCGACTCATATTTGATATTTTGTAAATTGTTTTGTTATGTATAATTAGGCTGTTAGTTTTTTCGTTTGAATTGTTCACACTTTTCATGTCGGGCCTTTTATAGACGACTTTACAGTATTAGGCTTTTGTCATTGTTGAAGGCCTTACGATTGTCTACAAAAAGCATTTGTCTACATGACGGCAAAAAGCTCTACAGTGACACTTCCGAAGAACAAAAAAAAAAAAAAAAAACGCGCCCCATTGATATTTTTTAAAAACGCCTTGCCCCTACCCTTTTTTCCAAAAAATTGGCATTATTAAATATATAAATATATATATAATCATCAAAATGAATATGCTATTGTATTTTTATAAGACCTACTTTATTACATGACCTGGGACTAATGACATCTATCTATAAGTCCTAGCATACATTAATTATTATGATATGAATATGTTTCTTGTTTTAATAACCACATATGATGCTATGCATGAGTCACCATTTATCAGGACATGAATTGGGTTTACATAGAGAGGATAAGGGACGACATCAGAAAATCAATGAAGGATAAAAAACTTAATTCAAATAGTTTGGGGGAGGGGGGTCAAAATTGCTGCAAGTTTTGTTTAATTAACATTGATTTTATATATATCCTTATTGGTCAATCAATTTTTCACAAATTAAATTAAGAGGGGGGGGGGGGGGGGGGGGGGGGGGGGTGTGAAGGGGGTTTGGGGGGTAGGGGGTCAATGAAAAAAACTATATGAATTAAGTTTTTTTTATCCTACATTGAACTTTTGATATCGTCCCTAATGTGCCAAAAAATAGATAAGGGCGGGACCAAACCTATAGATAACATAATAAAGAAATGATGAAATATACAGAATACGTTGATTGACTTTTGGTTGCCTCATGTCCAGTGGCAAATATGTCACGCATGTTTAGGACAAATATAATAGAGATCAAAGGATAAAGAATAGAGTGAAATGGTAAAAACTAAAAGATATATAATTAAAGAAACGATCTTTGATCTGAAACCCCTACCCTCACACACACACACCATAACCATTACTGCCAATACTCGCATATATACATCTCTATACAAATACCTAAATTTGAACCTACTCCCCCCCCCCCCCCCCCCCCCCCCCCCCCCCCCACCCCCCCACCCCCCTCTAGACACCGAGGTTTTGGATCCGCCCCTGTTAAATGTGTCTAATTATATACATTTTGTACGGGTCTAGATAATAGTTAAACGTACAATCATATACTTTGTTGGATATCTAATTATATTATTTAATGTGTCACAAAATAAACTTGTATACCCCCCTTCCCAATGCAGTTTTGAAAAGTAAATCATTAAAAGTCCTGAAGATAAAATATGTTTTGAAATATGCCCTGCATACTTATTTATGCAAAGACATATAGTAATTATTGAACTACTGTGGGGCTTGAAAAAAAAATCTATTTAAGGGATTCGGAGACGAGAACAGTAAAAAAAAGCTCAGCAACGAATCCTAAATGTAAAATGATTTGCAGCATAAGACATGAGAGCACATATTATAGATAGTATTAAATATGAAGTTCATGCCTCATATAGTGAAGTATGTGTCATAGGACTTGTTGTGACATGGGTTAGTAACTGGTTCCAATTTATCCTGAATTGTCTTTATTAAAGAATTAGTTCCGGAGTATAACAGCTTATGTCTCTACTTTTTCTGGTTCTGCTGTCGTAATTAGGTGATTTTTTTCTACATGTAGTAAAAAAGAGGAAGCTAAGTCCAAATAATTGTAACGTCCTGGGTGCTTTTTATTCTTTTTTCATGTGTGCCTTCCTGCAACGTCTCTGAGGATCAAGAAAAGTAAAAAATAATTTAGCACTAAAGAACGCCATGATTACATGTATCTGGATTTAGAAGGGGGAGGGGGCTAGCTATGTTTTTTTTTTATTTCAATGTGTAGACTGTAGGAGAGTTTCTTCAGAAAAGGTTTTCATTGGAGGTGTTTTTGCCATGCACGCAGGCATCTGTTTCTATCCATGAACAAGTTGTGTGTCAAATTAATTATTATCACTTGTCACTCGCATTTTTTGCTTGTCCTGGTCATTATTGGCATTAACAGCCAGTTCACGAACTCGCACGAACGCCAAATTTAGTTAGAGGGGCGATATTCTGACGCGTTTTTTAATTCTTGTTCACTCAAGTTTAGAAAGAAAGGGGAGGAATCCAAACAATTACCGACCAATCAAAAACGTTGTTGCAAATTTGACCTTATGACGTCAAAGAATTTTCCATAATGCAATTATTGCATATCAATAAAAAAATTCTATACCAATTGAATAAAAAAATATTGCATTCAAATGACATTTTATACCAATTGAATAAAAAATATTGCATTTGAACGAAAATTATACCATTTGAATGAAAAATTGTACCATTTGAATGAAAAATTATACCATTTGAATGAAAAATTATACCATCTGAATAAAAAATATTGCATTTAAATGAAAAATTATACCATTCAAATAAAAAAAATATTGCATTTAAATGAAGAAATATACCAATTAAATAAAAAATATTGCATTTTAATGAAAAATATCAAATTTTTGCAACCAATACCATGCCATATACAAATAAAAAACCATTGCACTGTTATTTCAACAAATTTCTCACAATAACTTGACAGGGCGTTTTCTGTCAGTATGTACTGGGTAAATTTTCAAAAAACACATTGTAGACTAGGTACACCAAAACCCTGGAAATCGCGTGGCTAGTCATATATATGTTTTTGGTCAGGAGATTTATCATATTCATTTTTGTTCCATAAATTCACTCGTGACTTCGGTTTATTCCGTATCTAGGTCTAGATGAAGTAATAATAAGGTGCTATTTGGATGTTTAAAAAACTCCGGGGCGGATCCAGAACCTCGATGTCTGGGGGGAGGGGGCACCATGAAACCAAAATTTAAATATTTTTTTAGAGATGTATACATGCGAGTGTGGGTTTGGGGGAAGGGGGGGGTCAGATCATCGTTTCTATATTTTTATATCTTTTAATTTTTTACCATTTTACTTTATTCTTTATTCTTCTGCCAATTGATCTCTATTGTATTCGTCCTAAACATGCATGACCTATTTGCCACTGGACATTTAACAACCAATAATCTTTTCTTTATATTTCATCACCTCTTTATATTCTGTTATCTATATTTTTTTGGTCCCACTCCTAATCTACTTTTTTTTGCCCATTATTCTCATATCAAGGTTTTTTTTAAAACAAATTGTTGGTTTCCTTTGAAAATAAGAGGGAAAAGAAATACGACTTTCAGTCTTAAAAAAAATCTTGTATGATATTAAAAAGAAAATAGTTTGTTGTTGAATAAATTAACAAAAAAGACAGTTTCGAAAAAAAAAAAATCATTCACAAGAAATGGTAATGCGAGTATTTTGTTATGAAGACATATCCCATATATCGATACCAACATACAATAATAAACCATTTAATTCCAAAAAGCATTGTATTTTAGGTACTATAATTTGTTTAAAGACTAAGATATCTATATATCAGGTTAATGACCGATTGTTGGCAGTTGCTAAACATCCAGTGGCAAATATTGCATCCATTTTCAGGAAAAGAACAAATTACGGTATGTCCTGTAATAGGGGTCGACCGGGATGAAGGGCAGGAAATTTGGAATGCCATTAGACAATGAGGATTAATTGTTATGGTCTGAAATTTTGCCTTGCTAAAAGCCACCAACAGACCCCTAAAAAAATGATTATTACAAGGGTTCTGAACGTGCAGGGAGATTGACACCCTCTCTGTACACGAGACATGAGCTTAAACGTCCCCATTCTGACCAGACTTGGCTGCAAATTAATACTTCCCTCACAACAAATCGGTCGCCCCACTTTGACAAGCCGTAGGGTTTTACTGCCGGTCGGAAGAAGATCCTGCAAGGGTGACCATATTTCTATTTCCCAGTATCCTTTGGGGGCTTTTTATTTTAGTTATCTTTAATATGCTTTCAGTTTTCACTGAGCTGTCAACAACAGCAACAAGTTTTTTTTTAAATCAAGCTTTTCAAATAAAAAAAAAAAGATTTCTTCATTTCAAACAAACATTGAAAAAATAAAAAAAATATTTATTCATTGTAAACAGAAAATTGTAGAATTACCTTGAATTTTAATTGGATCCCTCAGCTTTCCTGCTCTAATTATAATCACTGTTTGTTTTGACTACACTTAATTATATTCAAACACTATTCAAGGCCATTATATTTTTACCTGTATTCTGTCGACAGATAAAAGGATCGTTTATTCCTCCTATTCCTACACGGCCAGAACCAATTTGCGCCAATTACAGTTTTGAAAATGTATCAATTGCGCCACTTTTTCTTTTTCTGCTGGTATTAATTGCGCCAATAAATAAAATCAATTTGCGCCACATTTACCTGTATATTTTAACGTGTAACATTAAAGTTATATTATGCATGTAACATGTTCTATGATTCATCTATCGACTTCGCTGACTACATGCACATGTACAGGGTAATGTATATATGAGTGAACGTTTTAATTCAGCATATTTTTTTGTATTGTATGACTTAAGTCGATATACTGCTGGTCCCAAGCCCGGATGAAGGAGGAAAGAAGTCAATAATTTAGTAGATATATATGTAAAAATGAATAAATTGATAAAATTGGCGCAATTGTATGATTGTTTTATTGGCGCAAATGAAACCTATAGTTTTCAAAATGTAGTGGTGCAGAAGTAGCATTGGCGCAAATTAGTTGTGGCGTAAATGATTTCTTTTTTGGCGCAAATAGATATCGGCCTCCTACATTTTAAAATCTGGTATGTCATTTGTAAAGATTCGGTGTCTTTCCGATTGTCCCACTTTTTGAAATTACAGGTAAAAAAGTAGCGAAATTTTGTGGGATAATCAGGAAGATGTGTGTGGGACAATTGGGAAGCTTAAATTTAATGTGGGACAGTTGGGAGTTGTTTTGATAGTGATTATTTTGTTTTTAAAGTGTGAAGCAGGTAATTACAGGTAATAAATCAATGTAACCCATAAAATTTGAAATAAACATGGAAAAATGATTGTATTTACATATTTAATTTGTTTTGGTGATGTATTGTTAAACTACTGTCTAAATAAAGAACAATTATATAAAAAAAATATAGATATTTTAACATCATAAAAGATTAAAAGATTAAATAGACTGTAGATTTAACATATATAGTACATAATTGAAAAAAATTGAAGTATCAAGGATAAAATTAAGTTAAATTAAAAGAAATACAAAGATATAAGAACAATTTTACATGTTACAAAGTTTCAGGGATTTGTTCTAAAATTGACAGGTTTAAGGCTGATAATAAATATATTCATAAAACAAAGAAATAAAACATATTCCATTTTATAAGTCTGATCATAAAATTGTTCAAGTAAGCATTAAATTCAAGCGTACACAAATGGGGAAAGTTTTTTTATTAATATTGTTAAGAAAATCCTTGAATTAGAAAATCATAAACATAAAACGAAATAATGTGCAAATATGTTGATTGTATAGATATCTGGTCTAACTTTACACAATAAAAAGAAATTGACCCCCAGTCGGGTAAAACCAAAGAATGAAATGTTGGAATTTTCTGCTTCTCCTCAAAGCACGTCGCATTTTCGACTAAGAGCAAAAATTGGTCAGTCCTTACTCAGACTAATATGTCTGTGAAGGGTGACATGTCTTCCTGTAGACTATTATCTTGTGAACTAGCATGTTAAAAATCCGGCTTGATGACTCTGTAGGTCTAGTTCTTTTCAAAGGAGGTTTCATATTCATCTGACACCAACATGTTCTCGTCCTGCTTATGCATTCAACTTGCCACTGGACGTTTAACAGCAATTAGTTCATCTTCTTAATAAAATTGTATATTTTTAGAAGACACTGATGACATAACTGGGTCACATTTATCTCTTTTCCCTAAGTGAAAGTATAGGTTGAGATCTTGCACTCTATTTTTATTAAATTGATGATGTCAATTCTAATCATTAGGTAACAAAATAGTTTATGCTTATGTAACATTGTGATTGTAAATGTTTGTTTTTGTTTTTAAATCAGTCTCTAGACCTTTCAGTCTGAGCGCTCATAAAAATGGAAAGAAGACAAAATTGCGTCCATATATTTAAAATTTAAATAACAACTTTAAAATTAAAAAAAATATTGATATTTGATTTAAAAATAATCTAACATTATAGATATCGTTTACTAAGTTACATATATGTTATACTGTTTAATCAGAAGTGCATTTTAATGATGATTTATTCAACAATTCATATTTACATGTATAAAATTGATGCCGACTACTAGTATATATGTATTATATTTTATTTCATGAACACCTTTATATTTATATATTGTGTAACTCAAGAATATTTTGTAAAAATTATTATCCTATAAGCTGTATTGCTTTTGGAATAAAGTGTTATTATAGTATATACGCACATGCAATAATTTATTTTAATTTGATATTGCAAGACAAACAACAATTACATTGTTTATTCAAGTAGATTTTAAATATAAAAATAATGTGGGACAATAAGAACTTTTCATGTGGGACAATCAGAATTCTAAAATTTTAAAAAGTGGGACAATCGGGAATAAACCAAAAAAATCCACGTAGGAATAGGAGGAAAAGTTAAATAGAGAAGGGATTAAATCAGATTTGTTTGTAATAACATAAAGCTAATCAACTTCAGGTAAATATCCATAAAACCTCTTGAGATTTTCTGTATCTGTATCTGTATCTGTATCTGTATCTGTATCTGTATTGTTACGTTACCAATTCTGACTTTAACTCGACAAGAGAGAGAGCACCTATTGATGGTGTTGGAGAGCTGTTTTGAAGCTCTCAACTGACTTGGCGCATATTATATCTTCTTCCAGCTGGTTCCAATGGATCACAGTCTTAACGAATAATGAGTTCTTGAATTGTTCGGTTTTGCAATTTGTTGTATCAATTGCCATTGAGTTGTTCTTGACCGAGTTGTTTACTATATTTATACTTTCAAAGTTTCCAAAGCGCTTGGGTTAAATCCTTTTGCTTTTGCTTTTTACCAAAAGTTCTTTAGGTTTGATAGCTGGGACCAAACCCTCAACCACTTTGTACACACACTTATCTTTGGCTTCTTCTTCTGGACTACAGTTCTCTAGTTCCAGGACGGTAAGCATTTTGGTGACCGATCCTTCTTCTCTAGATTTGTAATTCCCTGTGGTAAATCGTGCTGATCTACGCTGGATCCTTTCTAGTTGGTTGATGTTGTCCGTTGTATATGGGTCCTATACTATTGCCCCATATTTCATTGTGGATCTTACCAATGAGATGTAGGCTGTTTTCTTGCAGTCTTTTTGACAGAATCGTAGGTTACGTCTGAGAAAGCCGAGTGTTGAGTTTGCTTTCTTGGCTACATTTGAGATGTTGGTGGTCCATTTTAAGTCTTCTGATATTTGTAGTCCCAGGTATAGATTGTGTTGGTTGGACCTGTTGGAGTATGTGTCCATCAAGGGTGTAGAATTTCTGCCTTTTGTTCCTAATGCTCAGGAAGTAACATTTGTTTTCAGTTAGAGCGCATACCCCACCCAGTCTTTGACCCACTTTTGTAAGCTAACCAGATCTTCTTGTAGTAGTGTGTGGTCACGTTGTGTTTTTATGTTTCTGTATAGCAGACAATCGTCAGCAAAAGGTCTAACGGTTGATTTTACTGTATTGGCAGGTCGTTGAAATGACAGAGGAAGAGAAGGGTCCAAGTAGGGTTCCTTGTGAGACTCCTGAGTCGACGGTAGCTTCTTTAGATTCCTCTCCACCAATGACAACTTTCATCTTTCACTGGGTGAGAAACATTTCCAGCCATTTATCCAGTGGTCCTCTCACACAATATTTATCTAGTTTGTGTAATAATTTGATGTGTGACACGGTGTCAAATGCTTTAGAAAAGTCCAGGATAGCAACATCAACTTGGTTACCAGCATTGTGTGATTTCATGAAGTCGTGCAGTGTGACTAATAGTTGTGTTTCACATAAATACCCAGATCTAAATCCATGGTTAAGTGATGTTTGTACCCTGTGCTTGTATATGTGGTTTAGTATGTGCTTACAGACGATGTGTTCTAGTATTTTACACGGCAAAGATGTTAGTGATACCGGTCTAATTTTCTGGTACACGTTTATCTCCTTTTTTGAATACGCTCGAGATGTTAGCTACGAAGTAAGTACGGAACGGATGTGAGCTCTGCGCCGGAGATTGTCCTTGGCCGTCTGGTCCTGATGCTTTAGTTGGATTTAGTTGTCTAAGCAGTTTTTCGAAGCATTCATGTTTTATTTCTAGGGATGGGATTGAGTTCTTTATGTATTTTGATGTTTTATGCAGTGTTTTGTCGTTGTCTCTGGTGAATACTGATTTAAATTGTTGTATCAGTAGTTCTGCCTTCCTTTTACAGTCATTCACTAAATGGCCATTGCTTTTCAATCAAATGTCCAATTTGAAAATATCATATAGTAGAAAATGTTTTAAAAAAGTTCTAACAAATGCATGTTCTTGTCTCATGGAAATTGTCCTGTATCCTTATTCTGTTTTATTTTATTTTCTATCTTTATTCAAAACTCTTCTGTTTATTTCTTCGTGTAATGTAAAGTGTTTGCTATTGAGTTCATCCATCTAAAAAAATAAAACAAATTGGTCCCAAAAGATAATTTACTAACACAATGATGTAAGCAGTATTTTAGCTCCATATTATACTTTAAGCACTTAGTCTCCTATAAAAAATCTTTTCCTATACATGAGAGAAAAAAATATCAAAATTACTAAACGGTAAAATATGTTTAGATATCAGAACTTACCATAAAATTAATCTATATATAGTCATTGTGATCTTGGACTAATACATGACTTTGTCCTATTTATTGGTCCTGGTGCGATGCACGCGATAATCTGGTTTCTGTGGGTCATTTTACTTTGAGTGATATGAAGTGCAGTTTGGCTTTGCTTTATTCAACCTTATACTTTTGTAGTATTGATCCAAGCATCAAGGCTGTCTATAATTAAGATAACTATTTGTGTAATATGTATAATTCAATTTGGATTTTTCATATCTGTATTAGTTTTAAAGCCTTCTCTCTCTCATTACTTTTCATATTTGATATATCCGGATTTTCCTTTGATATAAATTAAAAGTACATTTCTATATTTAATTTTCGATATTATTCTCTGTATGCTGTACCAAGTTAGGACTATGACAGTTGTTTTCAATTCGTTTGATGTGTTTGAGCTTTTGATTTTGCCATTTGATAAAGAACTTTCCGTTTTGAATTTTCCTTGGAGTTCGGTATTTTTGTTATTTTACTTTTTGCATCAATGTTTTTAACTTTATAATCATAATTCTTCATAAATATGTGAAAAGGCGGTATTTTTGTACACTTATTTACATGTACATCAATTA